TTAAGAAGTGGAGGGAGCTTAGCAGAAATAGGAAAACTCAAGGAAAAATAAAAATTGCTACAGTTAGCTGATGGTGAGCTGTATGCTGTGCACGTACAATACAATGAACCAAGAAATTCTACCTATTATTTACACGGTGACAGATAAAGGAAAATGAGGTGGAGCTCGATAAACAAGCTCTCTTCTAAAGTAGATTTAGACACTATTCATCCTCTGCTTTCCAGCACAGAAGCCTGCTTAGCTGGAACTGTGAAATAAATTCCAGCCCTCAGAACATTTCAAGGAGGAATAATGTTGAAAACTAGCTCAGGCTTTCTTTTTCTTCACTTTGAAATTGATTAGGTGTGCTTTCAAATGAAAAATTGGCTGGTGTCTCAAAGAATAAAGTACTTTTAGACAAACAAAAATAGCTAATTTGAGTAGTCCAAATAAAGAAACTATTAAGATTTTGACTAGTCTAGCTGAGAACCATTTTAATGCCTTTTATCATGGACCAAAAAGAAAATCATGCCATATCAAGTTTTAGTACAGATCAAATTACACCAAAAGACAATTGATACTTTTTTTTTTTTTTTTTTTTTGGTCTTTTTGATACAGGATCTCCCAGTAGCTCCAGCTGGAACTCACTATGTAGATTAGGCTGGCCTTGAACTCAGGGATATCTGCCTGTCTCTGCCTTCCGAGTGCTGGGATTAAAGGCGTACACCACCACACCTGGCCTCAATTGATACTTTAATGTTACCCCAATATTTTCTGTTCAGTCAAACTGATTACAAAACAGTAATTAAATTTGTTTCTTAAACTATATTAAACAAACAATACGTGGACTAAGATGGTGGAAATAATATCACTGATTAGCTGCTTAGGAAATAATGGACATTAGACTCAGTACTGGAAAGAAATGTTACATAAGCGGTAATTTAATTTAACTTTTCAATTTAAGGCATGCCTGATCACATGTAACTCTCTGAAATGAAGCATTTCAACAACTCACCATGAGTCTCTTTAGAAGATAATCTGAAAATCTATAAGAGTTACCAAAAAAAATTTACTCTGCAATAGCAGTTGATCTAAGTGCTCAGAAACAAAGTCGCATAAATTAGTGTTTCACCTCAGTGAGCCAGGACCGCACTTCACCAGTGTGAAGCAGCTCACCCCTGAAACTTTGAAAGGGCTTTGAATCAAGGGACTCCATTCTCCCTGTTAAAGTATGTCCCCAGTATAAATTGCTCCAAAACATGAACTAAGCCGTTTTGTTTTGAAGTTTTTCATTTCTTTAAATATTGAAATGTACCATAATTGGCTTCTTTCTTATTAACTCTATAAACAAGGCAGCATAATTGCAGCAATGGAACTGCCATTGCAATATACATTTTTAAATATTTTATTATTTTTATTTTATGTGTATGTGTGTATTGCCTGCATGTAGGTAAGTGCGCCCGTGTGCAATGCCCACGGAGGACAGAAGAGGCTGTCGGATCCCCTGGAACTGGAGTTACCGAAAGTTGTTAGCTGCCATGTGAGTGCTGGGGTTCAAACCCGGGTCTTCTGCAAGAACAGCGTTCTTAAACGCTGAGCCATCTCTCCAGCCCTGCAATATACATTTTTAAAATTTATAACTACATGCATTATTTACTGTGTGTGTGTGTTCATGCACATACACACAAATATGTGCCCTGGTGTACATTTTCAGGGCAAAGCGTAATTTGCAGGAGACAGTTCTCTTTTTGCACCATGAGGTTCCCAGGGACTGAACTCAGATCATGAGGATTGGCAGCAAGCACCTGTACCTGCTCAACCATTTTGCCATCCTGCGAGATACTTAAGTTTTAAACGATGAGTCCATGATTTGTATATTCCAGCTCTGATAACAACTAGCTACATGAATTTATTCAAATCACGTGATAAAAGAAGTAATGGCATGGTGGAAAGATTCTCCAAGGAAGTTTTAGACACAGTCCTCACTTGAAATCCTGGGTTAGGCTATTATGAAGCATTTGCCACACGTGAACTTTCAGTTTCCTCAACTGTAAAAATCAGTGAGCGATACCTAACTTCATACTATAGACACTGCCGTGCTGGGTCCTGCAATTGTTCCTGACTTGATGAGTATTATCTTTCTGACCTTTGGGTCTTGTTTCATTATGTAAGAAAAGGCATAATGATTTCAAGTAAGCCCAAATGACAAAGGTGTTAGGAGACTACAATCAGAAAAAGAAAGAAAAGAAAGAATTGTGAGGCTATAAAATAATACAAAAATGCCCTTCTGGGGGCTATATGGAAGCCTCTACAACAGGTTCAAATTAGCCTGAAAAGAGTTCATATTTCCATATCTTTCTGAGAGAAGAAAATGCACAATTTTCAATTGTGGCAATAGATGAAATACGGGATAAAAATCAAGCTACTTGGATCACTTTTAACTGCAATCACCCCTTATACAAATAATTATTTACTGAAGATTTACAAACTGTTTTGTAAAAAATATGAATGCCCCTTGAACTTTCAGAAAAGACCTGAACAGAATCTATGCTACACAATTGTCATATAAACACTTCTGGGTCTGCACTTAGGAAAAAATGCTCACGGTATCTATAAGAGCATCATTACGTTACGTTACAGTAGAACGTAGCTTTATGTGCTGTAGTCACGACTCTATCCTCATGATGTAGCTCAGTGCTTGCAGTATTATGAAAACTCAATAAATATATGCTCCATTAATGGCTAGATTATTTTAGCTTGAAAAGGTGAATGTTTCCATTATGCTTAAAAGCATATGCATTAGTGGCAAAATGGTTGAAACAAAAACAGAAAAGCAAATTCAAAGAGTCTCTTTTTGTAAAGGAAAATTCACATTGTTGTATTATTACATTTATTACTTGCTTGAAAGACATTATATTACTGTAGAAAGCACTTTAAATTTTTGCTGGGCTATATATTATGAATTGTATTTTTCCTATAAGCACATGACAAATGTACAACTGGTGATCCTATTAATAGTTACACCGTTTCTGAAGTTGGAGAGATGGCTCAGCGGTTAAGAACACTGGCTGCTCTTGCAGAGGACCCTGGTTCAATTCCAAGTACCCATATGGCAGCTAACAAGCATCTGGAACTCCAGTTCCAGGGGATCCAACACCCTCATCTGGCCTCCTCAGGAACTGCACAGCATGGGAGCACTTACACACATGCAAGCAATACAATCATACACAAAAAATAAAATAAAAATTATAAACAAAAATTAAAAAAAATAAAATAACCATTTCTATCTTGATCCATTAGCAATCACACATCCACATATTGAAGTATCATTTTTGAAAATGTACTATACTATAAAAAGGGCTATTATCATGAACCTCTTAGTTAGGGCCTAAGTAAACTTTCCCTTGTATTGGATGAAACAAAATTAAAATAAAATGAAGTCTGCATTAAACCAAGATGTCTTCAAAGTCTGTACTGACAAGTTCCAAACTAAATACGTACATCAGTAGGAAGGTATAATAAAATGAAGTAAGCCTGAGCACATACAAATAATCAGCTCTTGAGGTTTGGGGGGATTTTTTTTTTCTTCATAAAATACACCCTTTAGTGATCCTTAATATATGAATATACGGCAAAGGCTAGACTCACTTCTGACATCTGACGTAAGTTGTCAGGTTCCACCAGGTTTCCCCAGAGCTGGTTCCATTACTAATCATCCTACCCAAAACTCTTCCGGATCACCTGTCACAAAACAGATAGCAGCTAGGCTATTTTACATAACAGGGGACTTGGGTTTTCAAAGCAGGGAGGGAACAGAATCAGAAGCTCCGCAGCTGCCAGCCAAGCTCAAGGGCTCCAACCTTTCACTACAGAAGAAAATTCAGCTGTTGCCTCAACAGTGGGCAAGTAGCTGATAAAATGAGGACTGGAAAGAGCTGTAGGTTTCATGTAGAAGACAGCCATAGTTAGGAGGCAAACCATAGAAACAAGAAAAGATGAAGATGTGATAAACCTGGTGAAGCAGCACAAAGGAAGCTCATGGGTGGTGTCATACAGATAACATGCTAACGAACCCGGGTCAGAAGTATGTACAGGTATGGAATCCTATAGCCTGAAAATTGTTCTTTAAAAAATGACAGATATATCCTATAAGGTATTTTACTACCCTATCAGAAAGCAGTGAAGCTACGTTATCATTTGAACTACTTCTTCACCCGTCCATGTGTCTATCAATTAATGCTATCACTATCTGCTGATGTGTTAAAAATACAATATTATGGGGCTGGAGAGATGGCTCAGTGGTTAAGAGCACTGACTGCTCTTGCAGAGGACCCAGACTCGTTTCCCAGCACGCACATGGTGGCTAACGAACACCCATAACTCCAGTTCCGGGGGAATCCGACGCCTTCTTCTGACCTCCGTGAGCATTACAGGACAGGCACTGACTGAATTAGCAAGCCCAGCCTCATGTCAACCATTTGCCAAAAACCAATTAGTGAGCATGGGTGCTGCCTTCAGCAATTTCATGTGAGGCATAGATCTAACAGCAGCAGCACTACTTAGGATGCTCAAAAAGACCACCAAAAAAAAAAAAAAAAAGGAAAGGGAAATTCGTTGTACTGGAGATGACACATGGGGAACACAGGCAAACACAAAGCTTAGCAAACTGAGGTAGCATTCAGCTTCACCTTGAAGGATGACTAGGCTTTATCTAAAGGGGAAGAACGGCACATGCAAATGCAAAGAGCGTGATAGATGAGGAAGGGAGCAGACAGGAAGACAGGAAGGATTTGCTGAGTTGCTCTCAAGGTTCAGCGGAGGCTAAAACCCTTACATGTGTAATAGCACTGATCCACATGTCGGTTTGATTTTTCTTCCACTGTCCTTGACAGTCTGGCAAAGGAAGCCAGAGGAAAGAGCAAAATTGAATCTGCTTCAGAGAGGAGAGGATGATAAGGAAGAGGGAAAATCGCAAGGCCCGAGATGCCACCTCCTCATTGAGCACAGCGCAACCCACTCACCAGTTCTCAGAGCAGCTCTTCATGTCAGCATCTGCAAAGGAGTAAGGAAAAGGAGAGGATTATGTGGAGAGTGCCCTATTTAATAACTCCTCACTTATCTCTAAACAAATTCTTTCACTGAAACCAAAGCACCAAGTTTACAGTATGCTAAGCAAACCTGAATGGTTGAAACAAGAACTGAAAAGCAGAGAGATGGGACAGAAGTCAAAGAAGTCAGCCATATTACTACTGTACACGTGAATACGAACGTGAAGATTATCTTTGGGTCCACTACTATTATCTACTGTTGAGTAGCTATTTCTGCCAGAAAACAGAAGGTCCACCAAGGAAGAAACTGTATTTTAATGCTGGCTGATTACATCTGTGTGCCCCTAGTTACCCAACTCAGGGTCCAGTCACCATGAAGCAAGCATTCAGAATTGCTTTTAATGGGCTATATTTCATAAAGTCATTTTGTCATTGAACAATAACCTTATTAACTGCTAGTCTAATCTTCTCATCAGAAATTCAAGCTCAAATAAAAGAATGCAATGTATTTATACATGTATATACCTATGTATAAAGAAAAATAGAAACATCCATTTTATATTTGTTGAATACTTCTATAGTGATTTAAGCTTCAGAAAGAAGGAAAAAATCTGCAACTTGCCTGTAATTCTGTTCAAATGACATTTATTTATGTTCTATCAAATGGGTATTTATGTTGAAATATAGTTTTAGATGTAAAATTTTTCTAGAGCGTAGATGAGATGATATGCAAATGAGATGATATGCAAATTGAATCCCCACTATTCTACTATTCGACCAGTAGACAATTCCTCACCTATAATCATATTTACTACTACATAAATCAGTGTTTACTGTATTGAGCTATTAAACTTTCATAGATAAAGGTCTCTAATGAACTGCAGAGCCTACAAACTTTCACTCTATAAAATATGACAGGCTAGGAAAATTAAGTAGATCTAATGGAAATGAACAATCCTACTCTTTGTATTATGTCAATGAACAATATTGTTAAAATTCAACACAAATTTAGCTTACCATAGAGAGAAAAATTTAGTAAGTCCAAGGATAGTAATTTATTACAATATTTCAGTAGTAAAGTATAGCGGAATAAAATCAGTCCTAACAATGTGGTTAGTTTTATTAGATTGCATAGAGAAACAATATCCTTTAACTGATTTTATAATGATAGTCTTATACTCAACCTTTGGTTTCATTCAAAATCATACATAATAGCCTTTTAATATTATTTGTCAAAGGTTCCACTGATACAAACATGACTTTTCTTCAAATGGTTATGAAGGGAAAGGAACAAAATCAGATATTAAATAGTTTGCCTTCAAAATAAAGGCTTTAAAGAATTTATTTTAGAGATAAAAACCCTGACCTTACTAATATCTATCATTTAAAACGTAAGCCTTTTGCCTTTATATATACTGCTAGAAGGACTAAGTTTTTTCGCATGCAGAACTTCTTCCAAGAGAAAAAAAAAGTAGACAATCCCTTCATTCATTATTCACCACTGCCCATGAGGGAAGGTGAGATTGCACTGTGGACAGACCTTGAAGGTTGCTATTGATGTCAATAATCTTCAGTTCAGCAAAAGAAAGGGATAAAATGTCAGTTCACACATGACCTGAATCTGCTCTTGCTTTTGGCCTGGATAAATTCAAGTCTCAATTCTCTCTCAAGAGAAGTATTTGCAAAACCACTTGACTTTAGGTCTAGACTGGTTTTGTGACTAAGGTACACCAGTAGCAGAGCAATTAATTTAATGTGTGCCTAATGTTTTTATTTATTTCCCATCTGATTTGAAAGTCAAATCACCAACCCACAGAGGGGGCAGAGGGGTCTTACTAATTCACCTACTGATATCTTACTCATCTAAAAATATCCCTATCTAATAGCACCTAATTCTGAAAATATTCAATGATTTGCCTTGTTGAAACTATTTCTGTTCAGTAGTTACAGATTTTGTAGATTGCTTATAACACATTTGCTTGCTCCTCCTAGCTTACAGACAAACTTTCTAAATCCATCCCCTACGCACTTACTAACATGCCCTCTGAACAGTGCCTTACATAGATGAACTCTTCAATAATTGTTTGCTTCTCAAATTCAACACAAAACTGACATATTCTCTTTTTTTTTTTTTTTTGAAACAGGAACTCCCGGTAGCACTGGCTGCCCTGGAACTTGCTATGTAGATCAGGCTGGCTCAATCTCACAGAGCTCCACCTGCCTCTGCCTCCTGAGTGCTGAGATTAAAAGTGTGTGCCACCACACACAGCATATTCTTTAATATTAAACTAAATATTAACATTTAAGAACATATTGATGAAGTATGAAAAGAATGACAGCCTGTGAAAATGAAATCCTCACTATGTTCTATTTTCCCAGCGAATAAGAGTACCCTCTTTAGCAGCTCAGGAGAAACTGTTAGGCAACAGCCTTTCGGCAATAACTTGAGCACTGGGAATTTCTGTGTATTTTCTGCACTGCTGGTTCTAATGTTCATGAAAATCCATGCAACTGTTTTACTGGAAAACTCGCTGATATGAACAGACCCTATTTTGGGGGGCATTTCAGACATTAACCATAAGGCTCAGCTTACATAAAGATAGGATATTCATTGTTTAAAATAGCGATGTGTGGCCTTTTGTTTCAAGTTTAAATCAATATACAGGATAATGGAATAAGTTCTTAAAACTGTAGAAACTCTAAAACAGCTTATAGGCTTCCTTGTGGCAATTAACAATCCTGTGCTTAAAAGACACTGGAGCACAACTTAATCGGTCTGAAAGACATTCACTCACCTCATTTAACACATATTTACTGAACACCAACTACATGCCTAGTTCTCTGTGGGCAATGGATGCACAACAGTGCCACATAATAGATGCAATCATCATCCTTACTGCGGTTACAATGGGCACATGGAGTCAGATATTAAACAGATAATCTAACAAATAAAATCATGACAGTGCTGCGTAGGAAACAGGGAGAGGTGAGAGATGGTGCTCTGGGTAAATACAGTAGCTGGGTAAGTGCTATATATCATGAATCATAACAGAGGAAACACAAGGAGGTTCTGAGCAAAGTTTGCCATGAAAGAAGTGAGAATAATCAGGAAACAGAGAAACAGAAGCCATAGCACTGGACCATTTGGAATTGTATTAAAAAAATAACAAGAGTTACATCATTCACGATATTCTGCTCAATAATCATGCCAAATACCTCACAAACAGTAACTTCTAAGATTTAGATACATTGTGTAACATGAAGCACATTTCTACCAAATACTACACCATTAAACAAAATAATGGAATGTAATAGCCAAACTGCAAGAATAAACAGTATAGCTGATTTATTTTTGCAATCACAAAAAGTGTACACAAAAAGCTATAAATAAGTCCTGGATTTAGTGATGTTTACTAAGATATATGGAGGTTTAAGTTAAAAGAAACAGGTGATACTTCACGACCAATTCAAACTTCAGATTCTGAATTTTTAAACAGCTTACAAATTCAATATAACCTAGATATGCAAGCACAATTTAAAAGTTTGTCAGGCATAGAATAAGCAATATTTAAAAAGCAAGTCCAAGGCAATTATAAATTAATCTTACTAAGCAAGTTATTGATGAAAATGGCATCAATATATCGATGCCTAATTCAAAAATCTACATGGTGTCCAATTTCTTAATTAAGTTAAAAAATGTCTTTGCTTATCACAAAAGAGTTTCTGGAATCTCTATTGGACCACATATTCTCTTTCAAAACCTGTACCCTAAATATTCATAAAACTAACAATCATCTTTTTTTCTTGTTCACCTTTTCATATATTTTTATTAATTCTTTGAGAATTTTATGCCATGTATTTCAATCCTATTCATCACCCAGTCCTCTCCCAACTTCTTCCAGATCTCTCCCGCCTCTGCACACCCTTAACTTCCTATCCTCTTTTTCTATTTTTAATAATTCATAAGTCCAATTTGTGCTGTCCATACACGCATGGTTGTGGGGCCGTCCACTAGACTATGATAGACCTAGCCGATCCAAACTCTTAAAGAACACTGACTCCCCATCCCTCAGAAGCTATTTTCTTTAGTGAACCATTCTTTTCTTTTTACATACCTCATCTATAAGTAGCTTCTGTCTCTCTTTTATTTGGGGGGAGTGCCTTGAGGTCATGGTCCTTCTGCCTCAGCCCCCCCAGTGTTGGGATTATGCGGATTACTACAAGCCAGCACACCTGACCCTATATGTCAATCATTTACAACTCAATATAGGCTATATTTACTCCATTGGATCATTATTTAAAAGTCAGTACTGGTGCTTCTAAAGAATTAGAAAGAATCTGCACAACATGATTAACAGCATGTTTTTAAAAGATAGATTTTAATCTAAAATTGAAACTAACAAACCTCATGATTTAAATGAAATAATGTAAATAAGACCAAATGATAAATATTAAATTAGCACTTAGATAGAATATCCATCAAAATCATATTTGTATGTTGTTTCACTTTGTCATTCAATAAATATTTTAAAAATACTGTTAATAGCATTGCACATAAAATAGTAATAAACAAGAAAAATTGAATTCATCTTTTTAAAAAATATTTCACTTATCTTTTTTTATTTTATGTGTATGAGTGTACTGCCTGCATGTAAGTGCACCCATGTCATACAACGCCCATGGAGGTCAGAAAATGGTATCGGATCCCCTGGAACTGGAGTTACTAACACTTGCTAGCTGTCATGTGGTGCTGCAATTTGAGCCAGGTCCTCTGTAAGAGCAGCAGGTAGTTGCTGAGCCATCTCCCAGAGTCTTGATTCATCTTTTATATTAAACAAGTAACTGCGTGAACCCAATCTCCCCAAAAATCTCATTTTAGGGCAATAAATAATGATATTTTTTAGAGATGGCTCAGTGAATAAGGTGCCTTCTGCACAAACACCAGCACCCATCACATGTGGTGACAGTCTTCTGTAACCCTAGCAATGTGTGGTAAAGACAGGT